CAAGAGACCTCTCAAACTCCCACAAAGAGCCCCGAGAGGGTTTCAAGACTCCCAAAGGAGCCCCAAGAGAGCCCCAAGAGAGCCCCAAGGCCACGATTCCCTGAGATCCCAAGAGAGCCCCAAGATCGCACGGCAACGCCAGGAGGAGGACGAAGAGAAGGAGCAACGAGGACGAGGAGAAGGAGAGGAGGATGGAAGAAAGAAGCCAAAGAGAGGGAGAAGGAAGAGAAAACACCCTACGGTCAGCGCACCTTCTTCGAGCGGCTGTTTTTGGATGGGTTGGTGGGGACTCGCGAAGCGTAAACAAGATATCACGATGTGGACGGACAAGTGGAGGTGCGGAAGAGCAAGTGGCTGTCGTCTTCTGCACCGCGTCTCTCACCCACCTCTCTATATGACTGTTCGCTCTCTGCTCTCTGGTGGCAAACAGTACAGGGGGGGCCCTACGGCATGGTGACGCAGGACCATGCTGTTGCTGCCTTCGTTGGCCTCGGTTGCATTCTTGGTGCTTCTCTCCCCGTTTGAGTTCCAGCTGCCGCCCCAGTTCGATAGGTCTCGGGCGCCGTACCAGGTACGGCGAACCTCTTTCGGGGCGGGCAGCCACGCGCGCAGGCCCGCGCAGGCGTATCGGGCACACCAGGCCGTTTCACTTGGTTTCCCACTTCCCTTCCTAGCGCTTCGGCGTACTATGGTCGGGTCCGAAGGAGGGTTTAGGTTCGTTGGCGGGGGCGAGGTTCGTACCGCGGCGTTGGATCAGGCATGGGCCACAGGTCGAGCGTCTGGCCCCTGCCCCGCACCCGCCCTCCCGGCTGCCTTTTCGGCCGTTCGCAGGTCACCTCACCCGCTCCCCGCTTTGATATGCCTTCCCTTGCCTCCTGGTGTTTCTCTCTCCTTTCGGTCTCTAGATGCCGCCCCAGTTCGAAAGGTTTCGGGTGCCGTACCAGGTACGGCGAACCTCTCTCTGGGCGGGCACAAACATGCGCGCCGCCCCGCGCCCGCGCATCGGGGCCTTCAGGCCGTCTCACATCCCCCGCTCCCCTGCCTAGCGTTTTCAGCTTACTATGGTCGGGACCGCGGATGGGTTTTGGCGCGTTGGGGGGATGCGGTTCGCAATGCGGCGTTGATGCAGACAGGGGGCACAGGTCGAGCGTGCGAAAATCGTGCATTCCCGCGGGCCCCTACCTCGCACCCGCCCACTTAGCTGCCTTTGTTCAGCCCTGTGTAGGCTATCTCACCTGCCCCCCTCCTGATAAGTATGCATAATCTTGCCTCCTCCCTTCTCCTGCAGCGCTATGGTGCGCCATGTGCGCTTTATGACGATCAGGGTGGGGGGTGGTATGTGCATGGGCGGGAGGAACATGTACACCTTGGCGCCCCTGCTGCTAGATACCACGTGCTTCTGCCAGTAGCTCGCGAGTGCCGCACTAAGCTGACCGTCTCCTCGGCGAACCAGAGCACAATTCCAAAAATTCCCATCTTCATCCTCCTCCTCCTCCTCCTCCTCCTATTCATCCTCCTCTTCCTCATCTTCCTCCTCCTCCTCCTCCCCCTCCTCATCCTCCTCATCCTCCTCCGCCGCCGCCTCCTCAGTATCATCCCCCTCCTCCTCATATTCCTCCTCCTCGCCCTCCTCCTCCTCATTTCTCTAATCAGAATCATCACACGCCTCATCGTCTGAGTCTGCATAGTATAAACAGTCGTCGTAGTATTCGTAGCATGGTTCTTCATGTAATTCTGATTAGTCGCACTTGCATTACTACAATTCGTAATATGGTTCATGTTATTATTGTTTTTTTACTGGTAGTTTGATTAAAAATAGCATTCGTCGCCGCCGTAGTAATAGCATTCGCCTGCTTCTGCGTATGAGTATGTTCATCATCCGCCGTATGCTTATTAGTACCATACATTCGCTTATTATTCTTAGTATGACTATGACTCGTATCACCCGTAGTCGTATCAGTTGCCTGCTTCGTAATAGTACCAGTAACAGTAGTAGTAGTAGTAGTAGTAGTAGTAGTAGTAGTAGTAGTAGTAGTAGTAGTCGTAGTAGTAGTAATAATAATAATGGTAGTAATAGTAATGCAAGTACTCGTAGTTGTTGTAGTAGCAGTAGTAGCAGTAGTGGTAGTAGTAGTAGTAGTAATAACAGCAGCAGTGATACAATTAATATTGTTATATAATCTGCCATATGATTAATATTCCTCCTCTTCCTCCTCCTGCACGTCCTCGTCCTCCTCGTCCTCCTCCTCCTCGTCCTCCTCCTGACCATCCTCCTCCTCCTCCTCCTCCTCCTCCTCCGCCGCCTCCACCTCCTCCTCATCCCCCTCCTCCCCCTCATCCTCCTCTTCCTCCTCATCCTCATCCTCCTCCTCCACCTTCTCCGCCTTCGCCTCCGCCTCCGCCTCCTCCACCTCCTCCGCCTCCTCCTCCTCCGCCTTCTCCGCCTCATCCTCCTCCTCCTCATCTTCGTCCTCCTCCTCCTCCTCCTCCTCCTCCTCATCATCATCATCATCATCATCATCATCAGCATCATCATCATCATCATCAGCATCAGCATCATCATCATCATCATCAGCATCATCATCATCATCATCAGCATCATCATCATCATCATCATCATCGTCGTCGTCGTCATCATCATCATCATCATCATCATCATCATCATCATCATCATCATCATCATCATCATCATCATCATCATCATCATCATCATCATCATCATCATCATCATCATCATCATCATCATCATCATCATCCCCCTCCGCCCCCTCCTTCTCCTCCTCCTCCTACTCCTCCTCTTCATCCTCCTCCGCCTCCTCCGCCTCCGCCTCCTCTGCCTCCTCTTCCTCCTCCTCCTCCTCCTTCTCATCGTCACCCTCCTCCTCCTCCTTCCCCATCCCCCTCCTCCTCCTCCTCATCCACCTCCTCCGCCTCCTCCTCCGCCTCCTCCTCCTCCTCTTCCTCCTCCTCCTACGCCGCCTCTCCTCCTCCTCCTCCTCCTCCTCCTCCTCCTCCTCCGCCTCCGCCTCCTCCACCTCCTCTTCCTCCTCCTCCTCCTCCCTCCTCCGCCTCCACCGCCTCCTCCGCCTCCTCCTCCGCCTCCTCCTCCTCCGCCTCCTCCTCCGCCTCCGCCTCCGCCTCCTCATCCTCCTCCTCCTCCTCCTCCTCCTCCTCCTCCTCCGCCTCCTCCATCTTCATCCTCCTCGTCCTCATCCTCATCCTCTTCCCTCCTCCTCATCCTCCTCCTCTTCCTCCTCCTCCTGCTCCTCCTCCTCCTCCTTTTCATCCTCCCCCTCCTCCTCCTCCTCCTCCTCCTCCTTCTCCTCCTTCTCCTCCTCCTCTTCCCTCCTTCCTCCTCCTCTCCTCCTCCTCCTCCTCCTCCACCTCCTCCTCCTCCTCCTCCTCCTCCATTCCTTCTCCTTATAGAGAACTGGTCCCTCTGACCCCGAGACCAGTTTTTAGGGCGGGCCGGGCGTTTCGCCTGAGACTCCCTCACCATGTATGACTCTGAAGCTTAAAACGTGACACCGGTTTCACATATGGAGGGCAGGTGGTTTTCAAAATGTGGCTCTCGCCTTAGCGCCGCGCACATTCGTTTTCAACATTTGCAAGAGCTTCACGGATTGAGGGCGGGTCGGTTTCAAAATGTGGTTCTCGCTCTAGCGCCGCGCAAATTCTTTGTACAAGAAATTCAAGAGTTTCACGGATTCAGGGCGGGTGGTTTTCAAAATGTGGCTCTCGCCTCAACGCCGCGCACATTCTTTGCAAAAATGTGCAAGAGCTTCACGGATTGAGAGCGGGTGGTTTTCAAAATGTGGCTCTCGCTTTAGCGCCGCGCACATTATTTGTAAAAATGTGCAAGGGTTTCACGGATTGAGGGCGTTCCTTTTCAAATGTGGCATCGCCTTAGCGCCGCGCACATTCTTTGTGAAAAAAAGCAAGAGCTTTACGGATTGAGGGCGATTCCATTCTAAAACATAACTCTCGCCTTAGCGCCGCGCACATTCGTTTTAAACATTTGCCAGAGTTTCACGGGTTCCCATGATCAACGAACCAAAAACTGTGTTTTGGAAGGATTCAGGATTACGCGGGTGCAAGAGTTATGTTGATTCGCGGTGTTGAAATCCAAAAAAATGCATTATGGCACGATTCCGGATCGCCGAAACGAAGCAGTCAGGTTGATACGTGACGTTGAACTCCCGAGAACTATGTTTTGGCATGCTTCAGGATCTCCAAACGGTTGTCTTCCAACGAGGCAGTTCTCTCAATTGAAATGAACCGTGTATGGGCCTATGAAGAGGGAGCTTGGAGGGAGGGTTAATTCCAACATCGTTGATGACTCTTGGGTTTACACTGGTCCTCCTCCTCATCATCATCCTCTTCCGCCTCGTCGTCGTCCTCGCCTCGTCGTCGTCCTCCTCCTCCTCCTCATCATCACCATCATCACCACCACCACCACCACCACCATCATCATCATCATCATCATCATCATCAGGAGCATCAGCATCAGCATCAGCATCAGCATCATCAGCAGCAGCAGCATCATAATCATTATCATCATCAACATCATCATCATCATCATCATCATCATCATCATCAGCAGCAGCATCACCAGCATCAGCAGCAGCAGCAAAGGCAGCAGCATCATCATCCTCACCATCATCTTCATTATCAGCATCATGCTCCTCATCGTCAGAATTACTGTCGTCGTCATCGTCAACATGAGCAGCATCATAATCGCGTCATCATCGTCAGCATCATCATGCTCGATGGTAGCATCCTCATCCTAATCCCAATCGTGTCTTACCCAATGCCTCAACTCTACCCTATCATCGTATTCATCATCACCACCACCATCATCACCACCACCACGATCATCGTCATGAGCACCCCACATGCTCTTTCTCCTCCAGAGGACCCCCGAAGCCCCTCGTCCTCATCCCCCCCTTCTCCTGCTCCTCACCCACCTCATCTGCCTCGTAGCTGCTGCTTGCCCGGTCCTTGATCCGAGCTCGCACGCGCTCTTGGGTCCGTCGCACCTCGAGCACGCTGACGACGTCGCCCGTGCGCAGCTCGTCGGTGATCTCATCGTCGTACACGGGCACCTCCGCTGCCGCTCCGACCCGCGGGCCGGCTGGCGGCCCCCTGGAAGGTGATCCCAGGTCACCCGAGGTCCATGGAAGTGCAGGCAGGCCTCCGAAGGTTTCCAGAGATCCAGAAGGAGGCCTCCGTGCCCCCACAAAAAAACAGGCTGACTCGAACCTCGATCCTCGAACCTGAGCTATTCATATACATATAAATATATGTATATATGTATGTGTATGTGTATGTGTATACATAGATCTATATCACATGACCTGTGTGTGCTGGGCCTGGACTATAGCACATGATGTTCTGGGACCCAGGCGGCAGAGACGACGACGGCGACGCCGACAACGTTGGTTTGACAACGTCGCTTTCTTTTTTGCCATCGTCATCATCACTGGTACCGACGGCATCATGATATCGCGCCCGCCCGAGTCACCGACCCGCATTGAAGTGCCCGCGCGTCAGAGCGGCCTTTGAGATGCGCTGGCAAGTTCGAATCGGCAACCACAATCGTGGCCGAAAGGGCTTCGCCAAACGAGCTGCGGGTGGGAGGGCGGAATGTTTGGACGAGCAGTGGAGTTGCCGACTGATGATGGACTTAGTTGATTGCACCACATAGCGTGTACCACATGCATTGCACAACACATTGCACCACACAGATGAGAAAACACGGACTGCACCACCTATATTGCACCAAGCAGCATGCAGCACATAGATTACATCCCATACTTTCCACCACTTGCTTGCACCACATCCGCCACAATGCCTTGTGCACGTTGGGGCGTGTTCGAATTCTCCTCTAGCGTCTGGTAAAATTCATTCCGTATATTATTTCTAGGGCCTTCCCCCCCTCCTATTAGCGAGCGCTCTCCCCTTTCTGGAGCCGATCTGGACAATGCCCCAAAACAAATTATTGTTTGGAGAGGCTCTGGCCGAGTTGAGGCTCTGGCCGAAGGAAGAAGGCCTCCAGACGCTCCAAGAGTGCACCAAGATGGCCGGAGAGGCCCCCAAGACGGACCAAGAGGTCCCCAAGACGCCCCAGAAGAACTCCGAGAGGCCCTCAAGAGGGCGTCCAAAAAGGACTCCAAGAGGCACTCAAGAGGCCCTCAGAAAGGCCCTCAACAGGGCTCCAACAGGATGTCCAAAAGTCATGCCCTCTCATTGTCCTTATTCATTGAGTTAGCACGATCGCCTACTCGGGCGTCCGAAACTCCAACACGGCCCAAAAGGTTCCCATCAGGGATCCAAGACGGCGGAAGAGGGCCAAGAGGGGTCAAAGACTACACACACACAGATCATTCGACAAAGGCGTGTAGACGCTGATACGACTGCACGAAGCTGGGCTTCAACATGCGCTAAGCATGCACAAGATGCGAACTCAGATTGGCACGACATGCTACCTTCTGTGCCATGGTCGTCCACTAGTTGCACGGACGTCCACAGCGCCTGATATACCTGAAGACGGCCCAGGATGACCCCAAGACAACCCAAGAGAGTCTCAAGACGGCCACAAGACAGCCCAAGAGGCCTCCCAGAAAAGCCCCAAGAGGGGTCCAAGAGGGGGAACTCGAAATGGTCCTGGGAGCGATTCCTTCCAAAGTTGCCTCCAAGACCCCAACATACCCCCATAAGGCCCCCAGGAGGCCCCCAGACGCTCCCAAGAAGCCCCCGAGTGGCCCTAAGAGGCCCCCAAGAATGGTCAAGCGGCCTCCAAGAGTACCCCAGAAGCCCACAACAGACCCCCCAAAACTCCCAAGATGGCCCTGAGAGGCCCCAGACTCTCGAGAGGCCCTCAAGAAGGCCAGAGACGGCCCAAGAGACCTCCATGACAGCCCAAAAGCGCCCCAAGAGGACGTCGAGATGGCCTTCGAAGGCGTCAGATGGGCCAATAGAGCCCCTAGACAGCCCAAGGAACCCCGATGCAGCCAAAGAGGGCTCCAAGGGGTCTTCCAGGAGGTCCGAAGAAGCCAATACCATTGTGCTCCCATTGGTCTCGCCTTTTCAGGCATCCGACATCCCAAGATGGCTCCAGGGGCCTCCGAAGGTGGCCCAAGAGGCCCACTAGACGGCCCCAAAAGGGCACCAGTACGGCCCCAGGGACCTCCATGACAAAGCGCCCCGAAAGGACCCCAAAACGGCCCAGAGAGACCCCCAGACGGGCCAAGAAAGCCACACGACGGCCCAAGAGGCCCTCCAGGAGGCCCCCTAGGTCTTCAGAGACCCCCAAGGGTCGCTCAAGTTCAGACCGCGCGCTGAATTGCAATGGGTCTTCAACCCAACCTCCGATGCGCTGCTGCGCTGGCACGGGGGCGGGGCAGCTGGGTAGGCTCAACTGGGCACGCTGCACCGCGTACTTTGCTCGCGTCAGCACATGAATTGCACTGCATTGGTTGTACAGACGACAACACCATGTATTGGATCACATGGGCTGCTTCCCATACACCACATTTGCTGTATCGCATACACTCTACCACATCGAATGCAACACCGATGCTGCACCATGCGCAGATTGCACCACAATGATTACAAATAGACAATGCAAGAACTCACGCTGGTAAGCAATTCGATCACGCAGCATATTATCACGGACGATCCACGGGCAGGACCGGGGGCCAGGGAACCGCTGCCGACCAGTAACTGCTCAAAACCGCTGACTACGTCGACACCCCAAGTGTAAAATCGGGGCGAACGACCAAGACCCTGGCTTGTACGAGGAACAACCCTTCTTCAGCCCACGCGTCCCTCGCGTCCACCCGTCGCACCACCGACGAGGGCGACACGTAGGTGGGGTCCATGTTTATCACGTAGCGGCCAGGGGCGTCCTCGCCAGAGGGGCTCTCGGCGCGGTCTACTGCGAGGGCTCGAGATGGCGGTGCACCCCTCGTCCAGTTCCTCACCAGACCCTCGACGACTCGAATCCTTCGAGTGTCCAGCTCCTGAAGCTCTCAACCCCGTCCACATCCTGAGTGTTTGTTGACGGCTACGGGGCCTGAAACGAGCCCCCCGATGTCCAAGATGGCGAAAAGACTACTGCGCTTTTCAGCTTTATCCCCCACCCTCCAATTATTGTCCTGGTCATTCTCATCCTCCCCCTGCTTTTCCCCATTCCCCATTGTTCGCCCTTGGCCATCCTCTTCCAACACCTCCTCCTCGTCCTCCTCCACTCATGCGCCCCTCTCCCCCTCTCGTCGAAAGCTTGCCATCGGAAACATGGAGTGGAGATAGGGAGATGGCACGAGATAGGGATGGTCACAGAAACTCAGCTTTTCGCAAACACGCAAGCAGAGAAGCGAAAAGTGCAGAAACGGAGAAGCCGAGGCATGGGCAAAACGGCAGGACGAGCAGCAGGGAGGCGGCCAATGAGGCAAGGACACAGGGGGGGGACGGGCGCGAAAAAAGAGCAGCCAGGTGGACGGAAGCGGGCACAGAGAGACGCGGACAGGGAGAGACACGGAGGGAGAGATCATGCCCCACCGCTCCAAAGCGGAACCACCGCCCTCGGACGGCGGACCACACACAACAGACCAGGGATCCACGAGAGCGGGCTCGCTGGCTCTCCCATGGAGATACGGACGGGTCCCCAGGGGCCGAAGATGGCGAAGAACCTCTTCGAACCTCCTCCTCCTCCTCGCCCTCGCTCCCCCTCGCTGTCATCGGACGCGCGGTAAGTGCCTCGGAAGGGCGGTCAACCCAGTCGAAGCAGCCCGAACCTCGATGACCCCGAAAGACCTGAAGGCCCCCAAGGGAAGGAGGAGGACCTTCAAAACCTCAAATCTGACGATGTGATTCCTTCAATCCGCGGGGCACCAAAAGTTTCGACCATTCTTCGCGGCCAGCTTTCGTCCCCAATCAATGGTTGAGTGTCTGGAGCCCGAAAGACGACCCCCGAGGCCCGAAGTCCAGGAAAAACATCTGGACTGTAGAAGACAATCCGCCCGACGTCTGGGCCCCTCCCCCCTCGCTGTCCTCGGACGCGCGGTAGGTGCCCTCGTCGACCCTTGCCGCGCCGCCGGCGCCAGCCCTGCCGAAGCCCAGGGCCCCGCGCAGCCCGCCGCCACTGCCGCCTGACCGTCGGGGCGTCGTCTTCGTCGCAGATTCTGGAAACTTTCGAAGATGTTCCCAAAGGCGTTCGAAGACTTCGATGGTTTTCGGAGGCTCTCGGAGGCAACTGAAGGTTCTCGGAGCTCGCCGTCGTCGTCATTGTCGTCGCCACCGCCGATGCTCTCGTCATCGTCGTCGACGTCGGCGCCGCCGCTGCCATCCTCCGCCAGGGACCGAGGTTCGACGATCAGGGCTTACCATATTTTCGGATGCCTGGAAGCCGTTTCTGGGGTACGCAGCTCAAGTCAGCCTGGCGACGCGTCGAATCCTATACAACTGCGAGCAGCGCTGGGCATACCGCGCGCCGCAGGGCAGCGCGGATAGGGGGCTGCGGAGCAACCACTGGAAAGACGCGCTGATCCCCCCATGGGGCACGATCCGTCCGAGGGGTGTCAAAGTGGGCGGGGGAAGGATGCGAACTCTCTACCTAGGGCCGCGGGTGGGGTCACCTATGGGGCACGATCCGCACGAGGGCTGCGCCGAAGTGGACCAGGGTCACCTGCGAACCCTTCCGGTGGGGCCATAAGTGGAACTCCCTGGTGGGGCACAATTCACGTGGTGGGGGTGCCGACATCAGCGCGTGTACGCATGCCAACCCTCCTGCTGTGGCCGAGGGTAGAGCTGCATATGGGCGCACGATCCGCACGAGGGCTGCGCCGAAATGGGCGGGGGGGCCACTGTGCAGACGCCGCCACTTTGGCCGTAGGAAGTGCTCCCGATGGGGGCACGATCCGCGTGAAGGCCGCGCCGAAATGGCGTGGGGGGCTATGCGAACGCCCTCACTCAGGCCGTAGGTGGAGCTCCCGATGGGACACGATCCACGAGGTGGGTGTGCCTAAATGGGCGGAGAGGCACATTGCAAACGCCCTCACTGTGGCTGAAAGTGGAGCTCCCTATGACCCTACGAGGGGGGACACGATCCGCGTGAGTGGTGTGCAACATAGGCGGGGGTCGCTATGCGAACGCCCTTGCTGAGGGCGTAAGCGGAGCTTCCCAAAGGGTACGAACACACATGAAAATCAGATCCACCACAACTCCGACCAAAAGTAAGATCAGATCAAAGTACCCTTCGGAATATCCGCCAGAACTCCGCGCAGACACGTGATGGTCGGACTTCAAAACTCGTCCCTTCCAGGTCCAGGGGGGAATCCACAACCGTGCCGCTGGGCACGGAGTTGGCGTGTCCTCAGGTCCTTTGCCCAATCCCCTGAGCCTCAGTCCTCAGTCCTGAGGAATGGTTTAGGTACATAGTGAATGTCTTACTCCTACGGCGCTGGGCCGAAAACCAGAGATGAGAAACGGAGCAGGCGCGCGACAGCCGAACGCGCGGGCAGGGACGACGCATCCAGACCCAGCAAACACAAGATCCAGACCCAGCAAACACATTGGGGTCCAGGGGCTCCTACTTAGGAGCCCCTGGACCCCAGTCTCCGAGATCGCTTGGGGCTCGGCGCGTGCCCCCCCCGGACTTCGGCATGTGGTGGCGCGCGACTTCTCCGAGGTGGGCCACGAGGGCCCCTAAGCGGCCGCCAAGGCGGGCCAGAGAGGCCGAGACGCCCAAAGATCGGCCCAGGAAGCCCAAGATGGTCCCCAGACAAACCCCTGGAGGCCTCCAAGACGCCCCAAGAGGCCTCCAAGAGGCCTCCCAAGAGGGCCCCAAGAGGCCAAAATCCTTGTTCGTCCTTGGGTATTTGAAAGCTGTTTGCTGTCTCGCCGTTTCGGCTTCCCAACGCTCCCAGACGGCCCTAGAGGCCCCCAAGACCGCCCCAAGACTGCCTCAAGAGGCCCCCAAGACCGCCCCAGACGGGCCTGGAGGCCCCCAAGAGGGCCTCAAACGGCCCAAGAGGACCCCAAGACGGCCCGAGAGGCGCCCAAAACGGCCCAAGAGGGCCCCAAGTCGGCCCCAAAAGGGACCCAAGAGAGGGAACACGAACCGAAAATCTCAGCCTTCCGCCCCAAGAGGCCCCCAGGAGACCTCAAGAGTCGCCCAGGAGGCCCCAAAAGGCCCCCAAGAGGCTCCCAAGAGGCCCCAAAGAGGCCTCAAGAGGCCCCAAAGAGGCCCCGAGGCAGCCTCCAGGCAGCCCCCAAGAGGCGTCCAAGCTGCCTCCAGGAGGCCCCTAGAGAGGCCTCCCGCGCCCGACGAACATCCACTAGGCCTCATACCCACATCCCGGGCACGGTGGCGGCATTGGCCGAGGGCCATTAGATACTCGGCGCGGCGATCCCCATGTGTGCATGTCTTGTCCGGCAGGTCACCTGTGCAAGAGTGTACGAGTGTGGCCGAGGCTGGGCGGCTGAGTGCGAGTGGATCTGGCTGCAAGCGATTCTGGGTATGAGCCAGACCCCTTTGGATGGCCAACATGTCGTGCTTGCTGCATCGTGAGAACCATGAGGCCCTGAAAACAAGCACGCCGACATCCCAAAACAAGCGAACGGCTCTAGACACCCCCACAATCTGAGCGCGAGCGGGCCTGTGCAACATCCCTTGGAATACACATCACGAGGATCATGAGGCCCTGAAAAGAGACACGCACACCTCCCAAGGCAAGCGAACCGCTCGAGACACCCCCACAATCTGGAAGCGAACGGGCCTGTGCAACATCCCTGGTCGGCTGCCCCTTGAGGTGCCCAAATGTCATGCTTGCTACATCGCGAGGCCCTGAAGAGAGAGAGAGAGAGAGAGACACGCCCACCTCCCAAACCAAGCGAACCGCTCGAGACACCGCCACGATCCGAGAGCGAACGGCTCGTGCAATGCCCCTGCTCGGCTGCCCCTTAAGGTGCCCGAATGCCATGTTTGCTACATCGTGGGGGCTGAAAAAAGGCACGCCGAACTCCCGAAACAAGCGAACCGCTCGAGACAAGCACACAATCTGGGCGCGAACGGGCCCGTGTAACACCCGTGGTCAGCTCCCCCTTAAGGCGCTCAAACGCCACGCCTGCTAAATCGCAGTGGTCATGGGTGAGCCAGTCTGAGTTTGAGTTGCTAATCTGAGAGAGTGAGCCTAAGTGGTGCGAGTGAGTCTGAGTGTCAGTGAGTGTGAGTGCGAGTGAATCTGTGTGAGTGAATATGAATTTGAGAATGCGTCTGAGGTTGAGTATGACGGAGCCGAGTATTAATGGATATGAGTGTGAGTGAATCTGAGTGTGGTTGAGTCTGAGTGTGAGTGAAGAGGAGTCTGAACAGAGTGTGTGTGTGTGTATGAGTCTGACAAGGGACGAAAGCAGGAAGAGTGAGGCGGAGAGGTTTCAGGAATGACAAAACGCAATGCTTTGGATACGGGGAACAACATCGCCCTCGGAATGGGCGTCTCGGCACTTTCCATGTTGGTCACCGAAGGTGCCGTCGATGACGTTAAAGACGACGTCGCCTCGCTCCCATCAACGGCAACGTCGTCTTCGCCGCCGTCTACAGCGCCGACGACGACGTCGTCGCCGACCTCGGCGTCGCCGAAGCTGGCGTCGGTGAGAAAAGTCAACGACGCAGTCGACGTCGGCCTTTCGTCGCAGTCGTCTGCAACGTCGACGACGTCGCCGCCGTCGCCATCATCGGCCTCGCCGATGTCGGCGTCGTCGCTTTCGTTGTCTACGTCGAAGGCCTCGCCGACGTCGGCGTCGGTGGGAGACGCCCTCGTCTCTGACTTTGACGAAGTGCTGGTTCGGTCAGGAGACGAACCTAAAAAAGGCATTTCCACAGGACGATGGACTCTCTGTTGAATTGCGATCCGCGGCGCTCAGCACCGCAAACCCCGCCCCCATTGATTTTTAACACGGGCGGGCCCCGAGGCCTTGGATCTGATTTCTTGTCGGTCCCCCGTGATCATCTGATCCACAAACCTCACGCGGGGTGCAAATCGATTCCATAAGTCGGGAGCGGCCAAGAGGGGGGTGTCCAAGAGGGGGGGGTGCAAATCATGACCTGCGGCATGTGCGCGGCCCAGCGGGGGGGCCAGGGACGTAATAAAATAAGAAGAGGCGCCACGAGATCTGGGGAAATATCATGGCCCCCGCCATGATATCCACCCCCCCCTAGTCATCACCCCCCTCTTTTCCGCCCCCGAATAAGAAAGAACTGGGCGGAAATCAGATCCGGAACAGGCGAAAGCATGTCCGTACGGGCGGAACTCTGATCCACCGGAACTATGTCGCGTTTCCAGCGCTCGGCATTGCCAGCGCCTTCGAACGCAGCTTCAGCGCATGGACCCAGATCCCACTCCGCGGGTCCCAGCACCTTGCAGCCCCTTCCCTGGGACAGTGTCTCCTCCCTGACACTCTGATGTCGGCGGCGAGCGAAGGAGGAAAGTGAGAAGGAGAAGGTCCACTCCGGAGGCGGCGGGGTTTCTCAGAAGGCGTCCGGCCTTCTGAAAGGCTTTCTGTGTCTCTGGGAAAATTCTCAGGAGGCTAGGGGGCTTCCGAGCCTCCTGAGAAGGCCCGCCCCCTCTCACTTCCCCCCCGGGCCCGCCGCTGGTTATGGCCCAAGGCGTGGAAAGAGAGCCTCCAAAGGCAGAGCTGACAGCAAAAAAGAATCATTGTTATAGTTTGAGGAGAGAGGGAGAGAGAGAGAGGGAGACTATATATGATTATATACATATTTGTATAATTTTGTTCCAGGAGGTCTGGGGATGAGAGGGCGAACGCACGAATGGACACGGACGGCCAGAGCACCAAAAGAGGAGGGAAAGAACTAGACGACCGCAGAGGCAGGCGTGAGAAACAGCACGATCGCTCCACGCAAGAAGAGGAAGGATGACGACAAGGACGACGACGACAACGATGACGACGACAACGACCACAATCACGACCACGACCACGACGACGACCACGACGACCACGACGACGACGACGACGACGACGAACGACGACGACGACGAACGACGACGAACGACGACGACGACGACGCCGACGACGCCGACGACGTCGGCGATCCGAGGCCATTGCACGCGCCTGAGCCCGACGACGCGTAGCCGTGGAAGGCCCGCGCCGTCGGAGACAAGCCGCGGCCGCCGGCGCCGCTGGAGCCAGGAAAGCGGTCCTGGGCGGGGCTCGTTGTCGTCGTCGGCGTCGTCATCGATCAGGGTTCGAGGGTCGGGGTTCGACGGTGGGGGTCCGACGGTCTCAGGGGTAGAGGGTCGGGGCTCGTCCGTCGGGAGTTGAGGGTCGATCGGGGGTCGACGGTCCAGGGTCGAGGGTGCAGGGATGGGGCTGGTCGTCGTCGGCGGCGCAATCGATCAGGGGTCGAGTCCGGATTCGACGGTCAAGGGTCGAGGCTTTCGTGCGCTTCGCGTCCTCTGCCGGCCTCCAGGGGCCTCCAAGGCCTCCAGGGACCTCCTGGGAATTCTGGCGGCCACGCGCCGTCGTCGTCGGTCCTCGTCGTCGTCGTCGGGCCCTGGGCCCGTCAAGAGACGACCCGCGGCACAGAACTGCTCCCAGTGATGGCTGCGGTGGCGAACGGATAACACACACCCATACCCATATGGACGGGGCCACGGGGGCGCGTTGTCGGATGGAGGTTCCCGCTCGAGCGGGAGCCTCGCCAGGGGTCCGACAAACCGCACCGATACCCATCACCGGTCCCCAACCCTCTCAACCTCCCATGGGTATTGGTGCGTTCGCCGATCGTCATCCAGGAGGTCCACGCTTCGTGAGAAAGACTGCACCTCGCAGATCCGAATGCCGAACAATCGGCTCCAACCTGCCGAGCAACCCCAGCGTGGCAGCGGAAGTAGGCCCTAAGCCACACTTCTCCCAGCTACTACGACTACAACTACAAATACGACCACGACTACAAATACGACTACGACTACACTTACGACTCCGACTACGACTACGACTACTTCTACAACTACCACTACTACTACTACTACTACTACTACTACTACTACTACTACTACTACTACTACTACTACTACTACTACTACTACTATACTACTACTACTACTACTACTACTACTACTACTACTACTACTACTACTACTACTACTACTACTACTACTACTACTACTACTACTACTACTACTACTACTACTACTACTACTACTACTACTACTACTACTACTACTACTACTACTACTACTACTACTACTACTACTACTACTACTACTACTACTACTACTACTACTACTACTACTACTACTACCTAACTCTTACTGCTACTATACGACTACTACGACTACTACGACTACTACGACTACTACGACTACTACTACTAATTACTACTATACGTACTACTACTACTACTGCTACTACTACTACTATCTACTACTACTACTACTACTACTACTACTACTACTACTACCACTACTACTACTACTACTACTACTACTACTACTACTACTACTACTACTACTACTACTACTACTACTCCTACTACTACTACTACTACTACTACTACTACGACTACTGCTACTTCTACTACTACGACGACTAGCACTTTTACGACTTACTACTACTACTACTACTACTACAACTACTACTACTCTTACTACTACTACTCGCTACTACTACTTACTGCCTACTCTACTTGCTACTGCTACTGGCTACTGTTACTACTACTACTACTACTACTACTACTACTACCTACTACTACTATACTACTACTAACCGACCTACCGACCTAACGACCTACCTGACCTACCTACTACCTACCTATTGATATTTTACTACTACTACTATACTGCTACTACTACTACTACTACTACTACTACTACTACTACTACTACTACTACTACTACTACTACTACTACTACTACTACTACTACTACTACTACTACTACTACTACTACTACTACTACTACTACTACTACTACTACTACTACTACTACTACTACTACTACTACTACTACTACTACTACTACTACTACTACTACTACTACTACTACTACTACTACTACTACTACTACTACGACTACTACTACTACTACTACTACTACTACTACTACTTACCACTGCTGCTACTACTGCTACTACTCCTACTACTAGTTACTACTACAAATACTACTACTACTACTACTACTACGACGACTACTACTACTGCTACTACTACGACTACTACCACTACTACTACTACTACTACTACTACTACTACTACTACTACTACTATACCTACCTACCTACCGACCGACCTGCCTACCTACCAACCTACTACCTACTACTACTACTACTACTACTACTACTACTACTACTACGACTACTACTACGACTACTACTACTACTACTACTACTACTACTACTGCTACTACTTCTACTACTACGATGATACCGGAGAAAAACCAATCATAATATTTGTGGGGCTGCAGGGCTATGGGGCTATACGGTTATAGGACCATAGGGCTAGGGCTATAGGACTAAATGGTTGTAGGGCTATAGCAACATAGGGCTGTAGGGCTACAAGGCAATAAGGCTATAGGGCTATAGGCCTATAAGGGCTATAGGGTTATAGGGCTATACGGCGATTGGGTTATAGGGCATAAGGACTATAGGGCTATAGGGCTATAGGGCTATAGGGCTATAGGGCTATTAGGGCTATAGGGCAA